AAACTAGACTACGTCGAGTCTACAAATTATACTTTCTAATTTCTTAAGTGATTTTTTAAATATTTAACGAGACATATTATGAATATTTAAACTTTTTTTATTTATATCAATTGAGTATATAACTTCAATCTTTCTTATTGTTATTTCAATTAAGTACTTCGTTCAATCCTTCATTTTTTAAGGTAGGTTATTTTGGTTTAAAAACCCTCCAAAACATGATTATATCTAATAAATACAAGCATTTTAAATTAAATTGAAACTTAATTTAACACACGATTCTCCAGCAACCAGTTATTTCAAATCTGTGCTCGTTAATCATGTTAAATCGGTAAGAAATAATATTTTCTTGAACGTTTTTATGATTTAAACATTTACATACGAAGACCAAGAAAAAGAAACACGTGTAAAAAGCCCCTCGACCCAGAAGCTTCGAGCACCATTTTAAAAGCATTTTAAAAGAACAGATGGAAGGACGATGGAAACCTTTCAACGGACTAGTGGAGCTGACTGAAGGAGATGCGACTGTGGACGATGGAGACCTTTCAATGGTACTCTCTGGTCAAAAGACAACGCTCGTAGTTTCAGTGGGGCGAAATAATGCATATGTGTGTGTGTGTGTAAATAGAGAGAGGGAGAGAGGGGGAGAGAGAGAGGGTTTTTGGAATAGAGGGGTGTTTGGTTTTTTTGATAGGACCAATATAGAAAACATTTGTTTTTTACTTTTATGAGGTGAGGTTTTTATTTTAAAAAATTGAACATTTAAACATCTCTAAACCAAAACAACACTGAATCAGATTATTTATTAAGACGTTACTTACTATGTTTCCACTAGAGAAGATTTTGAATTTTGAACGATGAGAAAAAGAAGGGATCTTAACGTCATCTTGAAGATGTGGATGACGATCCACATTGTTCGTGTTCAATCATTTTTTCAAATGGCTAGGCCTTGAGGATAGCCCTGATCGATGGACTCAACTCATGCCCGTTCTATTTTCAGTGGTCCAACACCCCGCAGCAAATGGTGGAGAAGGAAGACATATGTAATCTGCTGCTACCTGCTATTTCATTAAAATTTACTTCCGAAATTTCGAAATATTCTCATCCTATCATTACTTCTAATTTATTGCAAGACATCTAATGTACGCATACTAGTATTTTGAAACCTTGTAACTCAAGGTGTTAAAATAATTAGGTGGCATGGAGTTGTTGGGTAATCAAGCTTACCCGAGTTCGGAACATAACACTAACAAATAATCAGGTTCAATGATAGATTTTCACACAAAGTCGAGGTTTATATGCAGCAGCAGCAATTTACATTCAATTCTTAATCATTTCTGCTTAAGAGTTCAGACAAGGCAGCTTCCGATCGTTGTAAAATAGAGTTAAGATACACTAGTAAATTGAATTTTCAGTCTTTAGACGAGGCGTGGATTTATTACTACCCCTTCCATTTTAATAGAATATCGAATAAAATCTTGGAAAGAAAGGAACATCAAATAAGAAAATTATATCCTCAAAGGAAAGGGATGAGAAGGCGGCAGCAACCGCAGCTCTAAACAGCTAATACATCAGTCAAAACAAGCCAAGGCCAAAAATAATTTATTTAAGTACTAAAGCAGCAGTGCGAAAACCAGAAATTCAGAGTTAAGTGAACTTAAGCTTCAGAAAATGCTTCATTACCATCAAAAGCACCATCTATAGCAATCTCAGGATCCTTCAGATCTGTCTTTGCCTAAAGAAAAATAAAACAAAACAGTCATTAGTGCTTAAGGTTCATTAGTTTCCTCTTAACATGATGTAGAGAAAAGATTTAGATCCATAATACCTAGGGAACAGAATTATCAAAAAGATATGCAAATAAAACTAAATTATGGAATTTTGAGGGTCTCTAGCTCTAGTAAGGAAAATAAATACTACCGCTAGCTTATGTCCCATTAGCATTTGCTCATGGATGCAAAACTGAATTGCGTCAAATGGCAAGTCTCACGATAAAAAGGATCCATATCCCTGGAAGTTTAAAATAAACAACTAAGTTCATGAAATATACTTTCACATGCATAATCACAAGAGGTTGATTAGGTGGCTTAAAAAAAATGATTATTGTTAGAATTAACTCTACACACCATCATAACCTTGTCTCATGAATGCGCCTGTGATATTCTCCACAGAAATTATGAAGCTTATGCCCAAAACTGAATCTTGCAGTGCTTAATCAAAATCTTAAGATCTGAAGCGTTGCGCACCGCGTAGAGACCTTGAAAACCCTCCTTAGTGACAATAAGATGAACAGCATCAGGGGCTGAAGCAAATTGCCCGGTTTGCATCCTTTTCTTAACAACCTGACATTTTTCACGGAGAGTAGACCTGATAAGAACCAAGAAAGGATGGAGAGCAAAGAAGCAGAATTAATTACCTCTGCCGGCACATGAATAAAACAAGAAGCAGCACCCTCAAAGGCACCCTAGTCTGAACGAAGGGATATTGGGAGACGTAGTGCAAACCATGTTTCAAAAAACTTTACTGTTTGTGACATAATTTTTTTTATAATACTATTGAATTAATTTCAGTGATATGATAAATGAGCTATTCAATATAAATTAACTAATTAACTTATTTATTTAAAATATATTATTTTTTTAAATTATTTTATTGTTATCATCTTCAATTACTTGGACATGACTTTTAGGTTTTATTTTGATATTGAATAAATAATCAACTTTATTATAATCCTTTCTAAAAAAAAAATTGTATATATAATATGCTAGTTGGTATTGTTTAAAAAAAAACATTGTTGAAGAAAATTAATAAAATATAATTGATATTTATTAAATTACTTATAATTTCTTCAATTACAATTAGGCTGCCAAATCAAATATAATTTTATCAAGTAATAAATAAAATTCATTTCTCTAAGTCCAAAACCAACCCTAAAATATATATCATACATATAAATTTGTTTATTTTGTGAGGTGAAGTTTGACAATAAATAAAATCAAGATAAAAAAATTAACATAACTGATAGATGTTGGTCGATACCGACAGGTTGAGTGACTAGATTTGGGAGTGGTTGAATTTGCTACTTAATTAGGAAAGAGGGGTTGCTGTTTTGAAAAAGAAGGAAGAAGAAAACACAATCAGGAGAAAAGAAACTATCAAGTTTTAATTTATTTAAAATTATAGATAGAATTTTTATTAGCAATTTTTTCAAGTGTTGTTGGCATGTTAAATTGTCAATAAAAATTTTATTAAATTTTTTATTGCATCACCATTTTTGTTAGAAATTACTGATATAAATGTTTTATCACTATTTTCATTAAAAATTACAAATAGGATATTTTTTATCAGCATTTTCATTTTTTTTTCTAATTTTCTGGTGATGAACACTGTAAAAGTTTTTACTTTTCTATTTTATTTTGGGTAAACAACATGGTAGAAGTTAAGTACTTTGTTATTTACATGATCTAAGAGGATGCTTATAATTTCAAAAGAGTTCTTATTTATTTATATATTTCTGTAATTGATATGATTACATGATATGGAGGTTTGAAGAAGTCCAACATCCGTGCCAATTCTGGAGGAGAAAATTACATTAAGCAACATGCTAGCTCGCTATAAAACCCAGGGAATTAATGAATAGGGGGCGTGCGAAACTACGCATCCTGATAAGGTATATACATACGTTCGGGTTGTGCTGTATAGAAGTAAACAACTAGGATTAAACAAAGACCCGATCGGTCAATAAAAACAAGATAAATTCACTGCCTTAAAGTCCTGGGAGACTTCAAGTTTGCCTGAAATTTCTGAGAACGTGAACAGGTACAGGTAATTCAGGAAAAACATGCTAGTCCTGGGATAATCTAAGATAAATTAATGGAGACGTACATAAAAGATTAAGATGCAACATTGGATAGAAAGAAACAGTTGGGATTAAACAAAGACCCGATCGGTCAATAAATACAAGATAAATTCACTGACTTAAACTCCAGGGAGACTTCAAGTTTGCCAGAAATTTCTGAGAATGAGAACATATACAGGTAATTCATGAAAAACGTGTCAGTCCTAGGATAATCTAAGATAAATTAATGGAGAAGTACATAAAATATTAAGATGCGTTGAGTTTATAAATTTCTATGTGCAATTTACATGTTTTTTATGTTTGCGGTTCAATTTTTTTTAAAATGTTTCTGAAATTTCTTTTTATCTATAAAAATATTAAATTGGTGTTTTTTAGATATTTTTTAATAATTTAAAATGTATTAATATATATAAAAAATATTTCATACATTTTTAATTGAAGAAATATTTCTGCAAAATCAATCTGCATAGAATTACCAAACACACGTACTTCTTCATGGACAAATTATTTCACAACCCAGTTTCATACTACAACGTTTACAAGACCACTTTGGAGTTTTCTGCAGCCTCTTTGCAATAAAAGAAATCAACCCTGCTTAAGCAAATTGTCAACCCAGTTTTATACAACGTTTTACGGACCACGTGGTAGTTTTCTGCAGCCAATTTGGAATTAAAGAAATGAACGAGCAAGCACTTGTCTTTTCTTGGTTTTACGGCCAAGAGTACTATCTTTCTGATCAATGTAGATCATCCATGTCAAGATTAGAGAATTGGTGGAAATTTTTTTCTCCTTATTGGCTAGGGTTTTGGATTCTAACAGTTCTGAAAGATTATATATATATGCCCTTTTTGGTGATCAAAACAACCTCCAAACATATACGTTGTCCTTTTGTGAACATTCAATGAACAAGTACGAGTCTTTGTTAGATTCTCGTATGCGAGCCATTGTTTATTGATGATTAATTCTTATTGGCCCTTCATTTGTACACGTATATCTTTCTTTGTTATTACGGACGCAGTCCACTTAAAGCGTGTTATGCAAAGTCCCCGATCTGGTAATATTCTAGCAATTATACGACCAGTATATATAGGTGACAGATTCATGCTGCAAAGTTGCAATTAAGTCTAAGAATCAATCGAGAAAGATGACTAGGGTTCGAAGCATTACTTGTATGTTCTTCCTAATTTGTTCAATAACACTTAATGTCTTAATGATCACTTTGTTTTTTGGTGGTGGATGCGAGAAAAGATGGACAAAGTTGGCGGCTGAAGAAGCCGAAAATGTTGCATCTATTTCTTGCTCAGGCCACGGAAGGGTATTCTTAGATAGTTTAGGTGCTGGTATTGGCAAGCCCATTTGTGAATGTAATGCTTGCTTTAAAGGCTCTGATTGCGCAGAGTTTGTTCCCGATTGTGTGGTGGATGCAGATAGGTGATTCATCACTCATCAGTAATCTCTAGATCTCATGTAAATTAAATCATCTATCAAAGTTACCAAAAATATATTTTCTAACATCTTGAGGCATTGTTGGCTGCAGTGGAGATCCCATGTTCTTGGAGCCCTTCTGGCTGAAGCATGCATCTAGCAGTGCTGTTGTGGTTCCAGGATGGCATCGTATGAGCTACGAATTCAATGATTGTTCTCTCATCTCAAAAGAACTCAAGATGCACATCCGAAAACTTCATGCTACTGTAGGAAATGCTAACACAGATGGAAGATACATGATTTTTGGTGCTGGGGCGACCCAACTTCTTAATGCAGCTGTGCATTCTCTTTCCTCTCATGATTATCCATCTTCCCCTTCAAGGATTGTAGCTTCAGTCCCATACTACCCGGTGAGTTTTATCAACTATATATATATATGATGTTGTCCTTTTCTTTTAGGCCTAACTTATTAATGTTATTATTTAGTGGTGGAACCCTTTAACTTGTTCCTTTCAGTGTGATGATCTGATTTCTATATAACAATAATAATAAGTAAAATAGCTTACAATTCCTTTTTCTCTCGTGATTTGGTTTCTACAAAACATGATGGATATATAAATCAACAAGAAAATCAACTTGTTATTTGTTGACATAATATAAACTTGAAAGTGTAGCTAGATTGATTAATTATCTGGCCTTAATTAAAACAATTTATTGTATGTTTTTTTGTGCTAAATTATTTCTCAAACTTATTCAATTTTTTTTTTCTTTTTAGAAATAAACGACAAACCAAAATTATATATTACTCTCTATAAGAAAAAAACTAAGGATATTTTGATGGAAAAAATATTTATATAAAAATAATTTTTTAAATTAAAAGGACTAAAATTTTCTCTTCATCATCAAAACCTTATCAAAATTGTCTTTTTATGTAGACAATTATAACAAAACTCTGTCAAAATTTTATCTTTATGTAGATAATTATGACAATTAGCTTAACGTCAATTTTTAAAACTAAGAGACACATCCTTTTGAAAAAAGACACAATTTTATTTTAAATATACTTTCAATATACGCACAACTCTTTCATTTACATATATAACTTCAATTTCATTCAACCTAACAATTGACATGGATAAAATTTATATTTGATAGGTTTATAAAGAGCAAACACAGTTCTTCCAATCTAATAATTACAAGTTTAGTGGAGAAACTTCGATGTTGAAAGACAATATGGATTCCTTGAGCAATTATATTGAGTTTGTGACCTCACCGAACAATCCTGATGGTCAATTAAAGAAAGCAGTTCTTCAAGGACCATCAGTAACGACAATTCATGATCTTGCCTACTTTTGGCCTCATTTTACACCAATCCCAGCTCCAGCTGATGAGGACCTCATGGTATTTACAATTTCTAAGCTCACCGGCCATGCTGGCAGTAGATTCGGGTAAGCATCTATCAGAACTCCGTTGTATGTTAGTAAAATGGCAAATTGTTCTTCCACAAATACTGTTTTCCATGCCTTCCAATGTAATTAATTCGCAATGTTTTGAAGATAATTCATTTTCTTTCTTTTCCACAGGTGGGCACTGATAAAGAATGAGGCCGTGTACCAAAGAATGCTAGCATATATGAGTCTAAGTACACATGGGGTCCCTCGAGAAACTCAATTACGAGTTTTGAAGCTTCTAAAAGTAGTCCTTGAAGAAAAAGGAAGGGAAATGTTCGAGTTCGGATATGAAGCAATGAGGAGTCGGTGGAAAAAACTGGGTAAAGTCTTATCGATCTCAAAACGATTTTCTCTCCAAGATCTTGAGCATCAAAATTGTTCTTTTTCCAAGATATTCCGGGCGCCTTCTCCAGGTAATTCTCACCGGTGAACTTGTTTCATTCATGCTTCATGCAACGCTGCCATTTTACAGGACTAATTAATTTATTGCAGCATTTGCATGGCTGAAGTGCGAAAGGGAAGAAGATAAAAACTGTTTTGAAGTCCTCAAAACATCAAATATCATTGGCCGCGAAGGTAGCTTGTTTGGCGCGGAAAGCCGTTTCGTGCGTCTAAGCCTTGTCAAGAGCCAAGATGATTTCGACTTACTACTTCAACGAATGGAAACTTTAGTAGCGTTTGAAGAAAAATAAGAACTGATGTTTTGAAAAAAATGGAAGCAAAATCAATATATCAATGGCATTTGATGTTGGACGCCGTTTGGATCGATCCTGGTCGATTAATTGATCATGCAGTTACACATTTCGTAGGAACAGAAAGTCTCCCCCTTTAACCTTGGTGTAAATAAAATTGTCCACCTCTACTGTATGAAGGAAAAAAATCTAATTAAAACATGAATAAATATTTTTTATTTTATTTTATCGTTGAATATTAAGTTAACTGAAAATTATGATTTATATTTTTTTTATTAAGTTATCTTAGTATTTGATATGTTAACTCGGAAAATTATGATTTATATTTTTTTTATTGAGTTATCTTAGTATTTGATATGTTAACTCGAGTTAACTAAGTTATTTTTTGGTTTACTTTGAAATTATCATGATCTCATAATTCAAGTTATAGATATGACAAGTTAACCCAAGATGACTGGAATTATTTTTTATATTATTTTTTTAATTGAATATTTTTCAATGTCATGGTTCAATATTGTGTTGATTGAGAATTAATTGAGTTTTATAATTTATTTTGATTTGTTTTCTAGTAGATTATCTCAATGTTACAACCTAGGTCGGAGTTTGATATGTTAATAAGAACTAACTCGGATTATTTTTTTCTTTTAATTTTATCATTTAACGTTGAGTTTAATTGAGAATTAAACTTTATAATTTATATTTCAATTTATTTTTTAATAGATTATCATGATCTCATGAATATGGTTACGAGTCTGATAAGTTGACTCAGGTTGATATAATATATTGTTTTTTTAATATTTTTAGTGAAATTATATTTTTACCATTCATCCAAATTATTTTTTAATATACCTGATTGAGTCATATCAGAGCATTTCCCACATGATTTAAACAATTTGTTTTTCTAGAAAACACCTAGCAATGCTTAAAAATGTTTTTCAAAGTTTAAATTTTTATCATCAAACCCGAAACATAGTGCCGGCAATAATACAGTAACTTCCATAAACTGAGACGAAGGATTACCTCATTAATTTCCCTCAAGTTTTGAAGGAATGGTGCCTTTAACGATGGTTGTTGCCAGGCACTCAACGATGACAGTTCTTCCGACTCCAGGATCACACCTATAAGATACGCTCCATCTGTTTTTGCCGTCCTCCAACTTGCTCCAACTTGTCCTGTAAAATGCCATTTAAACAAAACAAGTTCAGTGTATAATGGTAGCTAGTTCATGATCAGTCATCATTGATTCCACAATAACATGCGAGGATGAGAAATCGGATTTACCTCTTGTTAGCATATCTACCTTCAAAGGTTGCGTCTCTCGAGCTTCTTCATTGTAAATTTAAAATAAGATTATAAAATGATCTTTAAAAAAAAAATAGTGTAAAAATACCCTTTAAAAAAAATTGGTGTACCAAAACAAAAGATTAAAATTAAGTTCATATATATATTCGATTAATGAAAAATGAGAGTTGGTATACCAACTCATAATTTTCCTTTAGTAAGTGTCAACAAAAACGAAGCAATTAGCTGAGTTTGGAGGTAAGAATTTAATTAATTAGAAGTTTCGAAAACATTAGTGTACTTAAACAAAAAGAGTAGCTAAAATTCATATAATAATTAATTGACAAATGATATAAGATCAGAGTATTAATTAATATATAGTGCAATCATCCGGCTACAAAAGGAATGCTAAAAAGTCAACACAATTGGTGGAAATATTGAAGTCGACTCCCTGTAGCGATGACAGCTGATGCAAATGGATAAGCACGATCGATGGATGCCCTAATTACTTAAATGTTCTTTAATTATTGGCCTTTGCCTTGCGTTGATCGAATAAAATTGATTTTTTAAAGTGAATTTTGTTTAACAATAATATTCGCGGAACGATGGAGATGCGAAAGTGGACGATGGAGACCTTTCAATGGTGCTCTGTGGTCAGAAAAAGGAACACTTTTAGTTGCAGTGGGGGGCACCTTGGCATGGTGGTAGGGCTTAGGGCTCATAGAACCATTGTAAGTGCCTCTATAATCTAACCAAAGTTCGTATTCTCTTCTACACTCTACCATACAAAGAGGAATAACACAAGCATACTTCTAACCAATACGATTTAAATCTAATATTTAATTGACTAGTATTGAAGGAAGGGCACGAGTAGAAAAAAAATAGCTGTTACCTTGCTTGTTGAGTGTATAAATGCTACAAGATTATTTTTATGGAAAATTTTACTAGTTTCATTTTATTAATTATTTTTTAAAGTTTTATTTGAAAAAAAAAGAGACAAATATAGGTAGGAAATAGAGAATAAAACTCAAGATTTGCTAAGATTAATAAGAATATCTCTACTTAGAATTTTTATTTTCTACTTTTATCTAACTATTTTTTTTAAATATACTAAAAAAATTAATTACTATATATCACTATAAAATATATATATATATTAACTTATTCATTTCCCATCTTCACATAAACAAAGGTCAAATCCCTTCAGTGCTTTCATCTCCCTTGTTTCCATTTCATGCCTCCTCTTTGCTATTGAGCACTAACGTAAGACATCATCTCCTCCACGATTCATTTCACCCATTTTAAAAGCACGTTGGATGGATTTTATTTATTTATTTTGCCAACAACACGTATTTTTTCTGACAATGTCTAAACTGAAAATATGCATACTCGATCTTATCTAACCATGGACAATAAACAATCTCAACACACAAAAATAAAATGCATTTTAAAAGTTCTACATAGTTTTTTAATACAGTTTTCCAAATAAAAAAAATGAACAGTACGATTTTTTTTATATACAAGTACTTTTTAGTATTGTAAAAAATTAAAATTATTATTTTTTATATTTTTATATTTCATTAGTATCATAAATTTATTTTTTATTAAGAATATAGTATTTTTTCTGAGTTAACAATATAAATTTTTTATAATAATTTTTAACTTGAATGTAATAAAATCAACATTCTACAATTAAATTATCATAAATAAAAAATATTAAGAGGATTATTATAAATTATGAATTTCTATGAAAAATAGTTTTAATTTTAATGTATATTTTATTTTTTCAATGAAAAACATATTTTTTTAAAAAATAAACATGTTATCCAATTTTTCATTTATAAAAAAATACAAAAAAAAAAGCTATTTTCTATTACTAAATATATCCCAGAATCGGGGAAAACAACCCTTTAATCATCTCGAACGGGCTCATCATTGACAAAGACAAATCAACACGTGTCATATTGTCAATCGGCAAATACGTTGACTTTTGATATCGTTCCAGGACCGTCACCGTCCTTTTCTGCCGTACCTCACCATTAAACAAGGTCTCTGCGTTGCAGTTAAAATCCGCAACAGAAGATTCAGTTCAGTTATACCACGTGTCAGATCATGATTCGCTTGTTTCATGGACCCAATCTCCGTGTGTGACTACCACAGAGAATCTCACACGCAATGCATTCGGATTCTACGCGCGACTTTCATTAAGTATTAGCAGAAAAAATAAAGGTAATGTGTGTTATACATATTGATATGCAAATACATTAATGATTATAATAATCCAATATTTAATTAGTGGGTATTCCTTTATTTGCGCTATAAATTCTTAGTTTCAACGATCTTCGGATTGCATTCCATCTCTTGCTACTTTCCTGGACCTCATCTCTGTTTCTTGGGATCTCTTTTTCTACTTCACTGATCAGTTCTTTTGTGTTTCTTGAAGGTGTTGTTTAGATTCTTGTTTTTGGTTTTATTGATTTGTTTTGGACTGCGATTATCTGAAAGTTGAAAAGACTGGAGTTGATTCCAATTATCAATCTTTCTTGCAGGTTAAACTTCGTAGCTTTTTGCCACAAAGATGGTGATGAAAACAAATGGATTCATCAAAGGAGGTTTCCCAGATGAACTAAAGAGAGTCCTTCGATCAGTAGGATCTGAGTGGGGAGATGTAGTAGATGACATGGAAGCATTGCAGGTGGTGCCTTTGAAGGGGGCTATGACTAATGAGGTTTTCCGGATCATCTGGCCTACAAAGTGTGGTAATCTTAATCGAAATATATTGGTTCGGATTTATGGTGAAGGCGTTGAAGCTTTTTTCAACAGGGATAATGAGATCAGGACTTTTGAGTGCATGTCGAAGCATGGACAAGGCCCTAGGCTTCTTGGCCGGTTTGCTGATGGAAGGGTTGAAGAGTTTATTCATGCTAGAGTGAGTGAAAATGAACTTCTTCCTTAAATTAATGGTGATTTTGAAGTTCAATTATTATATTTTATTACCAGTTGGCATGTATAAATTATTGCCTTCATCATTATACGTTTCTTTCTTTCGTTTGCTGAAGTATACTTCTGCTTCACATAAGTTTGTTGAACAACATTTCTGCTCCTGGAGGTTCTAAAGGTGCCCTTTGAACTAAACGAAAGGACACAAATGGAGTTTCAGAGCACTGTTCCGTAGGATATTGACCTTCTTTCTCAAAAGTCGATCACCAGTAAAGCTGTTGAATTAGTCATTAGAGGTTAAAACAAGGCTCTTATGTACCGTACTGTAGTCTCATAGTGTTTTTCAACTTCCATGAATTTTGGGATTTTCCCATATCTACTTGTATTTTCTTTGCAGCAAACATTTCATATTTCCAGTATGGGATCAGAGTCAAATGAATATTGTTGCCAAAGTAAAAGTTGTAGCATGATTGGATTTGGGACCAATTGCAATGTGTTCTCGGGATTAATAGAAACAAGCTCCGTCATTTGACTAGCAAATTGACACCAAGAATTGTAAAGAGCTTATCTTTAGCCCGAATTCCACGTATTATCGTAAATTATCTGCTCAACTGATAGAAATTTTTTAACCTGCTCGTGATTCTGTTAGTTTTTAGAATTTAGTTGAACCATGGCTTGGAATCTTGTGTTGGTCTTCTTAGATTAGATTTCAGCTCTTAGAGCTTCTAAATTGTGTCTTCATAGTAGACTAAATAGTGAAGTCCAATCAAGAATTATTAGGAAACCAGTGCTCAAATAGACACTTGTAATTCTTGTTATGCATCAACTGATATTCTTTCTATTTTCCTCTTTTTCCTGGTTGGATGTCCAGACACTATCAGCTGCTGATCTTCGTGACCATGAAATATCTGCTCTGGTGGCTGCGAAGATGAGAGAGTTCCACAATCTTGAGATGCCCGGTCCCAGGACTGTACTCCTCTGGAACAGGATGAGGTATTGATATGTGATAAGGAGTTAAAGTATTTTCTTTTATCAGTGAATGTATCTGATGCCTTTCTTCTGGAATTCCCTAGGGGCTGGCTGGTTCAGGCTAAAAGCATGTGTTCAGCCAAAGATGTGAAAGAATTTTGTTTGGATAGTCTAGAAAATGAGATCAATATGCTAGAGAAGGAGCTGTCGCACGACTATCTAGATATCGGGTTTTGTCACAATGACTTACAGTATGGTAACATAATGCTTGACGAAGAGACAAGATCAATAACCTTAATCGTAAGTTTCCTTGTTCTGTGAAATGAATTATGTAAGTTTATACAGTATCATTGCTTTTGGAGTTAAATGGCATAACATATCCAAATTCCAAGAAAACGTACAGTAACATCTGGTTTAGTTTGAAACTTTTTTTGGAAGAATTTGCAAACGACATGTGCATGGTGACAGTGCATTTTACTGTTAACTAATTGCAGCAGAAGTTGTCAACTACACAAATCATATAAAAGGGAAAAAAAGAAAAAGAAAAATAAGAAGTGGACAGATCTGCCTTTTCCTGGGGTATTACTCCTCTTCCATTCAAGTGATACCTGATGATATTTACTAGGCCGTCCGTTCTCCATTTTCATGACTGAATTATTCTATTTTATCATACAGTTTTCCCGTCGCTTTTCAAGTTATATACTTGGAAAAAGTAGCCATCCGATCCTTGATTAAAAATGTACTTCATGATTTATTTAGGATTTTCAATTGCCAGGCTTCTATGAACAGTTCTTGAAAGTGCTCTGTTCCTGCCTTTTTATACTTGCTTTCTGTCAATACCTTGAAGCATTACTGCTAAGCTATTTGGTGTATGCCTTGTTGTTAGGTTGACTCAGTATGATGATTATTGAAATGCAATTCCTTTTCTTATAAATTGCTCATTCTCTTATAGGATTTTGAGTATGCAAGTTTCAATCCTGTTGCATATGACATTGCAAATCACTTCTGCGAAATGGTAGCAAATTATCATTCCGAGACGCCACATATTTTGGACTACAGTAAATACCCAGGTGTGCAACTTGTCATATTTTCTTTTCTTGTATTCTGCTGTCTTCTAAATTTTATCTGTTTTTTATTCTTGTGGATACGTGGATGTTTGAAAATACAGTGACGGTTATTTTTTATTTAAAAATATAATAAAATAATATTTTTAAAAATTATTTTTTATATCAACATGTAAAAACTATTAAAAAATATAAAGAAAAACAATTTTAAAGAAAAAAAATTAATTTTATGTGAAATGTTGTTTGGGGCCGTGTTTTTTCCCAAACAGCACCTTAGTATATTGTGATCCATGCCATACTCTATCCTCCCAACTAATTAGTTTGCGTTTCTTAATATTGCATCTGCAAACAGAAGGGGAGGAGCGCCACAAATTTGTCCTTGCGTATCTATGTTCTGCAGGTTGGTTTATAAATTTCCTATTCATTTAAATTTGAATTTCATGAGAAAAGAAGTTAAATCCCCAAGTGTTTGATTGATCTATATGTTGTTGAACATGAAAAAAAAATTAAAAAACAAGAAACCATGTTGGCATGAACCCTGTTTTCTTCTAAGCTTAGGTTTGCAAAAGCTTACCATGTTTTTAATGATGCTTGACCATGGTTGTTCCAATTTGACCTTGAAACCATGAATTATTGATTGGTAATAGAATGGGAAGGAGTGGGTTTCCACTGAGGTCATCAAGATCCATTAATAGACACGCTTGACCATCTCTAGTAATGTTTGAGAAATGGAGCACAATGACTTCGACAGCAGCACGTCCAGTAAAATTCGTTATGATCTATTGTATCTCTTTTTATGAAATACTAGTGAGTAATTGAATTTTAAGGAGAAAGAACAATGCTGCTGTCTGCTTGTTGCAAATTATATGAATACCTCATTTTCCCGTGGCAAATCCCCATCATTCATGCAGGGAAGCAACCCAGTGAAGATGAAGCGGAGTTACTACTTCAACAAGTGGAAAAGTACACTCTGGCAAGCCATGTCTTTTGGGGATTATGGGGAATAATCTCGGTAAGCATCCAGCATATTGCTTTATCCTTGTCATCCACAAGCAGGCGTGAGAGATTTCATGGAATGTGTTTCTACTTGTTGCAGGGCTATGTTAACAAGATAGAGTTCGACTATATGGAGTATGCTAGGCAGAGGTTTCAGCAGTATTGGATGAGAAAGCAAAAGCTCTTGGCATCCTCCGATAAAGCCCCTGATAACCATGTAGACGGATAAGTAGTGTACGATAGATGATAAGGGTACTCCCTGGTCAAATCTGTGGAGGAACGCAGCACTTGGCTGTTTATTCAGAGCAGAATCTGATTCACAGCTTCTGTAATTGTGTTACGGTATATGCTTGCCTAGATGTTATTTCGCAAACAGAAAGTGTAATTCTATAGAAAAAAGATGACGCTATTGTACATAATAAGATGCAGATAGACGTTTTGTGATTATGAAGACAGAAAATACACTCAATGTTATGATGCGACCACCACGGCAAGAAGTCGTGAAGACACAAGGAGAATTACTTTCCTCTCCACTCCAACTGAAGTTATCTTCCGTTTTCAAATTTGACTTGAAACCAATCTGAAAACAGAATCTTGTTTTAAGCATTGAACTGTCCAGCTATGGTTGTATCAAGAAAATCTCGACATGGAATGAGATCCGCCTCAATGTAGTTGATCGATGGATGATAGCCTCTGGTAGCTTATACATGTGGGTCTGGGCTAAAAAGCCCATGCTCCTAGGTTGTTTCTTCTAAAAGCTCAATGTGTCGAGCCGAGGGAAAATGTTTTGGACATCTTTTTTTAAGAGATAGATTTATATATATATAAAAAAAATTAACCTTTTTAATTTAAAATTTGGTTTATAAGAGATAGATTTATATATATAAAAAAATTAACCTTTTTAATTTAAAATTTGGTTTATAAGTTTGATAAATTATATCACAATACTTAGTTTATTAATTTTTTAATATTTTTTTATCTCTTATTTAAAAAAACTATAATCTCATCATTTATTATTAATGATTGTTTTAAAAGTTCAAAGAAAGAAAAATATAGTTTCATCTATCAAAATTACATGCGTTTTATTGGTATATAAATTTATTAAATTTAATGACATATATGATTGGTATTAAATGTTTAGTTGGTTAACTAAAATTCACTTAAAAAAATAAGATTTTTTTTATTAATTTTATCTTTTAATATTAAATTAATTTAAAATTTAATTTTCATTTATTTTTTTAATATTATTCCCATAAGTTAAAATTTAATTTTTATTTATTTTTTTAATATTATTCCCATAAGTTTAACATGTCAAAATGATGTAATATATTTCTTTTCGATGTTGAATAAAAATATACCATCTGAATTAGTCAAACCCATCTTAATACTTGACTCTTTGTTTTTTATTTCTAAATTTAGATTAAATGACCACGAAGGCAACAACAATTTTATCAGATTTTTTTCGTCAAAATAACCATTACAGTCGTATGTTTTTAACGTTGGTGGTCAATTGCCTTAAAATTCTTCCTTGACGATCAACATCCACCACTGTGGCATACAAAGCTTTGAACAAAATTCGAGAGCCGAAAGAGAAGAAAGAAATTCATCAGGATTCTTACATTGTAACGACAAAAGAACCAGAAAGGTGATTAGAATAAATGACAAAATGATACATCATGCCCATACGAGATCCCTCCACACAATTTCCTGATATTTTATGCTAATAACTAAAATAGTATTCCCCCCGAAAGCTTCAGCCCGCAGTAAAAATGGAGCACTGCGCTTGAGGCAATCAATTCCAGAACGCAGAGAACAAAGTAATGCAAAGGTAAATCAGGCACTTACTGCTACTGCTACGTAGAAGATAGCAACAAAACCTTCATTCTCCAGTTTAAAGAAGGTTAGTAACAGCAGCAACTCTAAAAAACATGCAATTATTCTCTTCTTTTATAACATTAAAAATATGCATAAACTCAATGGATTAACCTTTGATACACGAATCATTGAACATGTATGAACAAAATGCATAATAGCAAGTGAGCTAGTAACCCAGTGAGCGATAGTCAAATGATAGAGAGTTAACTTGGGGGAGAGGATATTCCTGATTTGAATCCTACCAATTACATTTCTCAACCCATATGTAAGCGTGCGGTTAACTAGAAACTCAACTTGATAGGCTCTCTCCCATGTTTTGGCTTTTGAGAGTAGCCACTCGTCCGTGGCTCGCGTGCCGGAGTGTGTCCATGATTTAAAAAAAAAAAAAGTTATAACTAAAGACTCCTATATATGATTTTCTCTCTATAACATATAAACTCCTACTCTGAACACAGTAACACAAGAAGTTCAGTACACAATATCATGCAAAAAATTGCAAATCAATGAATGAACATAAGGTAGAGTAGTAATAGCATAGTTCTCAGGGTCTCACTTCCAGCCCCTTCATGACAGGGTATTCCTCATAAACGCTCCCACCAAGAAATATCCTGCAAAAGCTATGGTCAAACCACGACCACAATAACTACCGCAACAGCAAATACACATTTAGTCAAAATCTTGATCATGGCTGGTGAGACCTAGCTGAGGTTTTAAAGTATAAGACTGGTACCGATTCAAGTTCAGAACATGAGTACCATTTTAACTGTGGCCAACCTCAACAAGAAAACAAACAGAAGTCGCACTCACCAAAGTGAGCCCATTCATGCATCATTCAGCTTTTAGGAGCCAGAATCCAACATCAAAGTCGTCTAACTTCCAATAGTTGTCCAAAACCTGCCCCGGTGACTCGTGTAATCTAAAATGCTTGCTGGATTTGCCTGCTATACTCAGGGTCCTAGAAAAAGAAAGATATGGAATGATAATTGAACTCGCACCAACATTAACTTCTCTTAGAAATTGTAAGAGACAGGATTTACACTTCAATCTAAATTGTGAACAAGTAATAGTTTTCAGAGAGAGACAACTTCAATAAAAACACCACAAGTGCTGAAAGATGAAGAACAATGCTGTGAAATGAGTTCATTGAACGTCCTCCAGCAGCATAAGGTCTATAGTTCAGGGGCACGAAGAAGAAGCAGAAGAAGAAGAAGCAACATCATTAAGATAAAAATTCTAGATTTCTTTCCCTGGATATGTCGCACCCAGAAATGCTAATACTACACCCTTTAAGACCTACATAGATTTAACCCATTAACACTTACGCAGTTCACATACATGGCTTAGTTCTCACCTGCTCCAATCTCAACTGGCTTATTCTAACATCAATTCCCAAGCCTGCCACAACTTCCTCATTTTCAATCTCTGCATCTGTGAATGTGAGCGCCTTCTGTAGCTTCCTAGGAGAAAACACCTCAACCTCAGCCATATATGTGGCAGCCACAGGCCGGTGATCAGAAAGTTTTAGCTCTTTCCTCCTGTAGTTCAGTAGCTTCATTCCCTTTCCATATGAAAGAATGCGATCACACCTAAAAGATAGTGCACATTGGTGTATAATTCATAGAAGAAACTGATAATCACACAATTAGGTAGGTGCTATTAAGCAAAAAACTGAGAGTTGAAGCATTTACTGGTATAATATAAAAATTTACATAAATAATATTCTAAATCTATCATGTTCAATTTTCTCTGGAGGGTCAGAAATATGTTGGCTGTGACGGCAAGCACATTAATGGTAAAAATCTAGAGGATGCAAGAGGAAATGAATGTTTACATGAGGAGAAAGGATGCAGGGAGGGGATGATGATACTTTTTCCATTCATGGTTGAGTAATTTGCAACTTATTTTGTGTTAATACAATAGCCATTCCCATACTTTACATGGTCATCTTCCAGCATCTTCACCAAATGATTGACAGAAGACACATTTTGGGATGGCCACCAAATGACCCAAGTTGGGCACTGCAGTTTCAACCATTCGGAATGCTTGTGTATCCTTTGGTATGTTTTCATAAAGCTGTTGGGGATATATCTTAAGTGCATAAGAAAAAACGTTAGCCTCCAAAAGAAAGAATAAAATGAAAGACGTACAAAGAGAAAACCACAGCATGCCCCGGACACAAATGTAAGCATCATTTCTAAAAGATGAGAGAACAGCAGACTAGCAAGAAAAACCACGTAACCTCTGACAATCCTATATACTGAATGAACTAACAAACAAATTGGTGGGGGAGTCTTCTAAACCCAGAAACATTAAACACAGAGTCATGTGAAGGGCTGTTTTCAACAGAATAAATAATCCCACAACACAATAAAATATACAGATGCAGATGAAGAGTTAACAAAATGAATTAAGCAGATGAGTGGAAAAGCTATTATACCACTCAAATACTGCAGAATCATACCATGAAGGAATACGCCTTCCAGCCTTTGGATCTTCTCCGCAGTATTTCTCAGAATTCATCTCATATTTGTATGTTGGTGCAAAATCCAATATACCCTCTGACCATCCATCGAATGCACGGCCTTTTCTTAATTCTCGTACAAGCTGTACAAATAACTCGAGGTTCAGAAACCTTAGCAGGTGAGTACATTCACTCATACACATACAAAATCACTCATAAGGGAAGGTACTTCAATCTCTTACTACATAATTAGCTTAAAAAAATTAACAATTGCTAAGGTACCTGGTCCGCTTCCACTAACTTGGACCACTCCTTTTTGGAGATGAGTTCACATGTTTGGTCGTATGACAAGTTGATGCGGTAATTCAAATCACCTAACCAGATAATTCGTCTGCATAGGTGATAAAGGTTAGTGTTATGTTACATCTTCTATTAAAGAGACAATGAAAACAACCAGCAACAAGAACTTTCCTGGAGGCTGGAAAAAGAAAAAATTCTAAAGTATGAAGGATGTCAAATATGGGGCCAAAACACTCGAATCACCCAGAGACATATTGCATTTTTATTTAGATGCCATATACTCACTCATGATCATAGATGCCTTTAGGAAGTCCAACATTGGAAAAGGGACGAAATTTAGTCCTCCTTTGTATTTCATGAACATCGGTATTTCTTTTGAGTTCATCTCCATCCTTGTCACCTGACGTGAGGTGTGTGCACACAAAACAGAAAAATGTCTGATATATAGACATGCTGACTGATATTGATCCCTGAAAGTTTGAAAAACAGTCATACTATGTGAAGGATTACCTTAAATGAAAAGGATTAGAAGCAATTCATATTTGCAGTTCAAACATGAAAATTCTGAAAATATTTTCACCAATTTCTAGGCATGATATCATATACAAGACATCAGGGGTAATAATTAAGCATTTGGCTTTCTTGAAACAAGATTCCACATTTCATTATCTGATAGAGTTGCCTATAAAATGAGATTTGCAATCTCGAACAAATGATAGTACAGTGGAGTTTTTCAGAGAGAATCACTAGTTTTCCAATACTATCAAGCCGTACATGCTCAAACCATGAAAGAAAATTTAATCTAAATATGAAAGGAACTATCACTTGTCAAAAGTATGCAATATCATAACCTTCAAACTGATTGAATTGAAAAGAAATGATCAAAATGCAAGTAAAATTAGGTTAGGAAACGGACCTTGTTACCAATATAGCCCATAACACCAACACCAACCGTGGACACTTTTAAGTTATGAATATGCTTACGCAAGCTCCTACGAATCCAAATAGTGAGGAAGATTCCGACCATCTGCTTGCTCACTATCCTTACATATGATGATCTTCTATTCCGTTTCATGAGAGATTCAAAGTCAAGCTCGGCAAACAAAGCTAATCTTGATTGTATTTCACTTGAAACAGACTTTAAAGAACTATATCCTCCAAAAGATTTGGTTGCTTTAAATGATTTAATTGATTTGAAGGAAGTTGGTCTCTGCAAAACATGCTGAGATAGCAAGTTTAATGGGGGCTCTGGCCAACTCAAGCCAATCCATTCAGAACTACTAAGAATTCTAGTTAATTTTTGAGGAGCTGCCGATGCTTCTACATCTCCTGCAGAATCTTCGGTCCGCAAGCAATTTAATCCATCTAGTTTTTTTGGAGAAGAAAATTGCTTCTGTAAATCCAGAGTTTGATTGTCTGGAACTCCAGAATTTGAGTTCACGTCACCTGTAATTGATTTGTCATTGAGTTCATCAAAACCATTGGATTCTTCGTGAAAGGGATGAATTTCTTCACCAATATCACTATCGCTTTCAAGTAATATCTCCTCTTCTATAGTGGGCACATTTTCAGATGACATAAATTTTGATGGAGATGGATGATCACTGTAGCATTTAACCTTGGTCCTTGCTGGTCGAATTCTGTTCAGTGTTTCACGGATAATGTTTTCCCACTTAGGAACTGGGCGGCTGTCTTCAGCGCCAAAGATATTCCCAGCGTTTAAGGGTACAATCTCCTGAAGCCTGAAGAAATGAAGCATTTGTCCTATTTCTCAAGTGAACTAACTTGGACGAGAACCAATATAAGACAAGGATTGACAGAACCAGGAAGAAAAATTATGCATTTTATGGAAAAGAACAAACAACATGCAACAAGTTGAGGCAATAAAAAGTAAATTAAATTGCTGGAGTCTTGTCGAGTGGATATAAAACCACATCATATACCTTCACTGACATGTTAATGTTTAGATGTCAGCTAAGAGTAGGTTTAATTATGGGAGGCAATTTCAATTTTCGTGCCAAAGAGTAGGGGTTCGTACCTCCTGTTTTCCCTCTTTGGCCTTTACCAATAACAGTTCGAAAATCAACATGTTGCCTCGCTTTCCTTTGTTAAAAGTTCTGATTGCCTTGAGTTCTATACATATAGACTTCTCTTTAAATTGATCATATTGTTTCTTAGCAAAAGAGCAAGGTTTAAATGAATCAATGAAGATTAATGTTCAGATCTTATGCTGGCATTGTGGCAGAGATAGCAGATTACCTTTTTTAGGTCATGGATAGCAGATTACCAATGGATATGCTGAGTTTGGTATTGGACGTGGTGCAGTGGTGCAGGGAAACACTTACCCAAACACGTAGATGTCAGCAGGATCATCAGTATCAATCCAGTCATCGATATCTAGGTCATCATTTGGAAGTTTTCCTCCAACATTCCACGTCCCAACGCATATTCTGAGGTAAGGAGTTTGGCAAAATCCAATTTCTTAGTTAACAGGAGGCCAAACAGGTTTTTCTTTTTTTCAATAACAAAGAAAGCACCAAGTAACACAAAGTGGAAAAGAAGAAGAAGAAGAAGAAGTTCAGCACGAGTGTAACTGGAGTTTGCTCTTATGTTACCGGGATATAAGGGAAGGATATTGGACCTGATTTCCTTTGTGTTTATATACTGAGCTCTAAAGGTCTCTGACAATCTTCTCCTTATCCTTGGAATAGAATCTGGAGTTTTAAAACATTTGTCAAGGAAATGAGTCAAAATGAAAAGGCAATGCAGCATAATGAAACTTCTCATCAATGCAGACTCAAGTTTGAAGCATCCATGACTGCTTAACTTCCAAACCACGAAATACTCGACCTAACTCTTTTTATAGCATTCGCAAAACAAGGCTAATGCATCCTAGAGAGAGAGAAAAAATATTGACTCATTCCGATATCATGATATTTCCATGCGGGCACACCAAGGGTCTACCAAAATCTGAACCAAGCATAAAATTGAAGAGAAAACCAAAATGAACGTCACATCAAACAATCAATGCCCTATCCATGGTTTAGAAGATTTCTTTGAATATTTAAATAAAGTAATAGAAAATGCATCAGTGCCTACCTCCAGCCAACTATCAGTCAAGAAATAGCAGGCATCTTTACCAATTTTCAGTTATGCTTGACAGCTCTTACATGGGAAAGTAAACACGGGAATCAATATGGAATTCTTTGAGTTACATACCAAAATTGAAATCTTTAAATCCCCAGAACTATAAAATTCAATCCCACCAGACTACAAGAAGAAAATATCTCAACGTTCCAGAATCAATAGAATTCTAAACCGAATAGAAAGCCACAGTTTAGACTATGTTCAAGAATCAAATGTTTCCATGGACAAATTTGCAACTAATTCAACATAATATCGTGGAAAAGAGTCAATAAACACACTAGTCGAACTCAAAGCGCCAAGAATCCAGCTGCGAGTAATTGAAACTTAGAAGAAAGAGAAGAAGAAGCGATAAAAAGCAAATAAAGTTGGGATCACCTTGAGCATCCTCCCCTCTTTTACTTCCAGATTGTGATCCTCTCGAGCATTCATCAAATTCTGCACCAAAACACAACCAAAAATCTCTTCATAGAAATAACCAGGAGAAAATAATTTAGAAAACAGAAAGACAAACAGTTCTTTTTCTCATTCAGAGAGTGTGGAATTTTGGTGTTACCATTGATATCGGAAGCAGAATCAGAAGCGTTGTCGTCGTCAGAGTCGGCGCTGTAATGGCACTCTTTGGAGCTGATATTTAGCAACTTACGAACCACCACTCTTGGCCAAAATAGCTGTATATATGCACCGACAACCCAAAGAACAACACGTTTCAGCTCTACTTATCTGCCCCAAATTCACTCTCAGGTTTCCATATAAATATTCAAAACTGAAAAGAAGAAGGGGAAAAGAAAGGAAAACGAGAGACAGTCACCTCTGGTTGCTGCTTCGTCCTAGAATACTTCATGGTCTGTGGATATTCACGTTGGGAACTAAAAACAAAAAGAAAGCAATGAAGTGCAAGTTTTCAAGGAGTTCAGAGAGAGAGAGAGAGAGAGAGATCAGAGTAGATATTGCTGAAGAGAAATGGAGGGAGGGAGGAGAGGGAAGGTAGGCGGGTTAAGAGTTACTTTCTAACGACATGTTTCGTTCCGAGCAATGGTAGTGGGATAAATTAACACTACTGTTTAGAGGTTTGACTGCTTAGTTACGCGTAAGGTAATTGGGAGTTGATTGCTTTAGAAACTAGAGGTTATCATTGAAAATAATAATTAAAGTATGCCCTCACGTGGCATTCGGCATGCTTATGTTGTCATGTGAGTTTTACTCGGATAGTGTTCGGTATGCTTACGGCTCGTATATTCATACACCCTCGTACATTGCAATTTAACATTAGTAAGAAAAAGCTGAGAAATTGTTGTCTTTTTTATTTATTTAATTCAATATCTCAACTATTTTTAAATCGATACAAGATTTTAGGTTTCATATATAATATATTTAGCATGACTTAGGAGGGGATAACTATTTAATGAAATAATTAATTAGATCGAGCATGTTTTTCATCTCCTCGTAATAATATACTATATAATGAATATAAGTCTTAATTTTTTTTTTAAGGTGGTGATTAGGAGTGTTCTGCTAGTTTTTTTTGTTTTAAAATATATTAAAATAATATTTTTAAAATTAATTTTTATATTATCATGTTATAACAATTTAAAAATAAAAAAAATATTTTAAAATATTTTTTATTTTTTTTTAATATTATTTGTAACGGTAAATTGTTAGAGATTGGAAATACTTGTTTTTCACTTAGTACCTTTTTGAGAAGCGGAAAAGAAAGTCAATTTAGAGTAATCATGATCATGGATCAATTAAATATTATGATTTTTCAAAAAATAATTTATATAATATTTTAATATTTTTTTAAAAATATTTTTTAAAATACATCAAAATAATATATTTAAAAAATAATTTATATCAGGAAATCAAAACAATTTAAAAATATAAAAATTATTTTTTAAAAAAAAATAATTTATATCAGGACATCAAAAAAATTTAAAAATATAAAAATTATTTTTTAAAATATTTTTAAAATATTATTTGAAATCCAATTCTAAATAATAAATTATTAGAGATGAAAAATTATTTTTCAACATTCAACATAAAAGGTGAGATATTTATCGAAGATAAAAGGTGCATGGAATTCCTTTAAAGTTTTATCATCAACGGATTGTATCTATTAAAAATAAATATGGATTGATAGATTTTTCAAAAGTATCATTCCCGAACACTTCCAGAAAAATCTTGAATTGGATCCCAGTTGATGGGAAAGGCGACCATTGACTTTTTAAATCGTAATTCAAGCATAAATAACTTGTAATAAGTTAAGCTGACTTTAAGTTATAAGTATATTTGATAAAAAAAAGATTTAGAAAAAACATATGTGATATGATTTAGAATTTATAAGTTAAAAATTTAAAATTTTTATTTTTATTTTTATTAAATCAATATTTTAACTCAGTTTTACATAATTGTTTTCAAATAAGAAGTTGCGCTCTTAGAATTTATACGTTTTACAATAATTTATAAGTATACAGCAATAAAATTAAATCAGAAGTTGGTGATGATGAAATGGTGGCTCTTTGATTCTGTAAATTAAATCAGAGTTAATTTGGTATTATAATAATAGTTATTTAAAAAAATTAAAAAAATATATTAAAATATTTATTTTTTAAAATTTTACTTTTAACATAAACATATAAAAATTTAATTTTTTTCAAACATATTTTTAACTTAATAACAAACAGGTTTTAAAATTGGGGTGGGAAACGTGTGGATAAGAATCATTAGTTATTGAATTTTGGCCAACTTAAATTCAAAAATCTTGTAATTAATTCAAAACTTAATTTGATTCAAATTTTAATATGAATAAAAAATATTAGTTGGGTAAATGTTTAATCCCACTAGATTACTTAAATTTTGACAAGTTAAAAAATAAAGAATTATTTCAATAAAAAAAATATTGAACTTGAATTGATACAATTACTTAGCTTTATTTTTTATAATCAGACCGAAATCAGGTCTGAGAACTGCAGTAAGAACTCATGATAATGGAAGTCAAACAAAGAGGTTTTGTAGGCTCCAGCTTGAGTGGTTCGCATATGTCCCACGATAGGAAGGTCCCAAATATATACAAAATGGACGTTACAATCTTTGTGACACAAGTGGCAAAATCACGGCATGAATCTCAGCCATGTAATACTTGGGATGGAGTATCTGGCAGCTTCCCTCACCGGTTCCTCCACAAGCTTCCACCAACAGAGCGGAAACCCAGCACTGAATTGAAAATGAGCGTTGCTTTTATGATGCAATGATGATTTACTTGGTGGAAAACACAATCAATAGATCACGTCAATCTTCGTATGCTTTCTTTGAGTACATTTCCCAACCAGTCTAGGGTCAAAACAAAAGGTTAAAGAGTATACAATAAATTCAGCAGAGCATGGTGAAAAAGAAAAAAAAATAGAAGTTTTTTCTCACTTCCGACTTTTTGAGTAATGCTGACAGGGATCGGGAACGAAAATAAACCTCCTTGCACTTTGAAGATTGACCCCATAAAACATCTGAGTCAAACAATTTCAGTAAAAATGAATCAAAGTTTGGGTTATAGATATTAGCCCAATCATAGAAGCATTTCAACATGTCGTATATGCATAACTTGCTGGTTTACTATCAATTATATTGATGAAAAAATGTAGCTGGTTGCGAGAAAGAGTTAAAATAAGGGGAAATCTCAATGCACAGAACATACAATTGAAGCTCGGAAGATTATAGGGTTTGAATTGAAGCTTTGAAGTAATTGAACCAGCTCTAAAGTGCCTTTTACACTGTTGAATATTAAAATTCTCCTCCATTTAATTTTGCCGGAATCAAGCTTAGAAATTCTAGTTTCTCACACTAGTTTTTGGAATGGGTGATATAACTCTAATTAACGATATGCTGACTGCCGAGGTAGCCAGGATTAAAGCCTAAAACTACGGGGCAACTTAATTAATCCCAGCAGACCAGGACCGACCAAGAAAGAAAGAAAAAAGCTTAGAACAATTAATGGGGGCCCTGGACACTGGATCGATACCCGTTGGCTGTCATTATCGGAGGGAATTAACGATTTCGGTTTTGGCTCCTCCTTATGAACTGGTCGGTCGCTCGGTTAGGATCAACCCTATCGTGGAGAGTTTCAGAACTGTAACTTAGCTATATATCCAAGGTTTTCAGACCATGTCATGACCAGTTAAACTCGGGTGCTTCTAATCCAGCAAAATCCATTTGGCCAGACCGACAATCAATAATTATCCTGCAGTTTTCAAAACGGCCTGGTATGGAAACCCATGGCTTGTATAGTACCATGCCAGACGCAAGTGGAGACGCACATGGTATTCAGAGTGGCCATCCAGGAAGAAGAATCATAATGGACAGTAGCATGCAACATGATGAAGCTTGTCTAGACCTAGGTGAAAATTAAGGTCCCACAACTCGAGCTCCCTGGCTTTCTTAGAATACCATCTGTCTGCCATGACAACTCACTTCCAGAATACTATCAATGCTTTGCAAAGAAATAGGGGGATTTTCAATCTTGTACTGTTCCACTTTTCTATATATTGTCCAAAAATATCATTGGTACTTCCTAGAGGATCTTTGAGTTTCTCTGGGCCAGCTTGAAATTAACCTATACCTATAACCTAAACCCTCCCTGCATCTGCATGTGGGCATGCTTTTCATATGGTTTTAGTAAACCATACATGATCACTTTTATTAATTGAAATTCTTAAAAACTATGAGGATTAGTTAATTAGTTTTATTAAATTAGAAAAAAGGCTTATTTATAAAAAAAATCTAAGTTATATTATAGTCCCATGCATGCATGATCGCCTTATAGAGAACAGGATTAATGGGCTCCAATACTGAACAGTATCGATCGGATACTTTTACTTTTTGTATGGGTAACAATTCATTTAACCAGCACTGTTAACGAAAGCTTTTGGTCACATCCATGCGCGACTTTAGTTAGTGCATTGTGGCTAAGATCGAGCGACGACGGCTAATTATGGCATCGACTCTTTCGTTAGAATTAATGCCCTTCCCGCTATCATTATGCTCCAGGAATATATTTTTCGAAAGTAACATGTTATTAGTTGAATTTTATTAGTAATTATATATGCCCATCCCTCTTCCAGAATACCGTTATACCTCATCTTTTTCTTTTCTTTTTTTTCATTTTTTGGATAAAGCATCTAGCCTACGGCCTCGAGGCAAACCATCCACAGGATCAAGTTTCCTAGCACCTTAATAGCACTGAATTATCAACTTGTATTTCTTGAAAATCCTGGGACAAAACAAAACCACAGCACTTCTTCAATAAATCTTGTCGTAAATAATTGTTTCTTTAAAATTCTCAGAGATTAATTATAACTCAAGGTTTGCTTTTGTTTTTTTCATATCTACTAAAATCCTACCCACCTCGCCACAAGTCAATAACATAGTCCAGAAATTATTGAATCTGATGAGCCATCAGGTCTATGCACACATACATATACCCACATATACATATACTGAGCACATGGTGCAGCCTATTACTTGGCTCATGTGTACTTAAAATTAGATGATCACCATGCCTTTGATCTTTTTTTAATATCCTGCTTTTTGGTCTATGGGCTTCTTTATCTAGTTTCAATGGGCAAGTGGGACTCAGGAACCGGCTACCTGTGTTTAAAGAAAAACGAAACGACGGCAGAGCTGCTATCAGGGCTGTTTATAAACCGCGGTCTGCAAGGAAATAACCCTCCATCTCCTTTCATCACCTCATTTCATTCCACGTGGCTGTGCCACGTGTTCCGATTCGTACTTTTGGTTTTTGTTTTATATCAATTCCCTAATTCTGCCACTAATACCGGCACGCACCAATTCTATTTCGGCTTTTAATACGGTAACTTTACTCGTAAATAATGGCTGGTTAAGGATTTTAATTCTCCGTAAAAAAAATCATTTTTCTAGTTTATCTATAATCCTCTATTAATTATTAATTAATATTGTTGTTGTTATATTGCAATCTCAATTATACATTGAAATGAGTATAGTAATTCGTAGTAAACAACCTCCTCGTTAAAACTTGACTAGTGAATTTGTCTTGTGATTTTTTTATATGTAGGTGTGA